ATATTTAAATGATTAAATGTATACTATATATTTATACTCGAAATCCCTGAGATCGGGTAGGCGTGGCCGCATGTTTCAACTTAACCTGAAGGTGTCTATGCTTCTGGTGAGATATTTTCATCTTGACACAATTGTTGTCGTGTCTCTGTCCAACACAGAACAAGATGACAGTTGTCCCAGACTGGAATATTCCACGAGTAACCAGTTCCGTGCCATGTTCAAATGCCACGCCTACTCTGGCTCAGGGATAAGGAGTGTATGTAGTGTCATGTGTAGTGCAGAGACACTTCTTTGTTGCATTCGAGTGTTTGTTCGATTCGACGCATTGCTGGTCCCTAATATGTATATACTCCATATCCCAGAGATGGACGGTCCGTGGGTGCGTGCATCACTATGTGGCGGCAGTTACGCTTCAGGAAGGATATTGCACTTCCAGAACAACTCCAACCATGACTTTGTCAAGTACAGGCAGGACAGCGCTTGTAAAATGGAGATATCCCACGTACAACGCATCCTATGCCATGTTCGAGTAGAGTACGCAGCCACGCCCACTCCATCGCCTGGATGTGCAGTGTAAATGCTATGATTGACCCTACTCAGAACATCGGAGCGGCAACGGCAAGGATGCTTGGTAAAAAAAATGGGCGGGGATCTCATTCTCTCGATTCTACCTTGTACCCTTTGATCCTGCCTAGCTGAAAGGATCGTCGTGCCGTTGCGGGAAATTAAATTTTCTTCAGAAATTCCTCATCTGCTGCTGCGGCCTCTTCCTTTCGTTCTCAACTCTATATATCACCCCTAAATTCTCCCAACATTCTACAACTTTTCCTAGATTTGTCTGAAAATTATCCAGTTGCTCCCCAAAAAAAACAAAACTTTCATCGAGCCTCAACGGTCCAGCAGGACGGGGAGAGGGAAGAAGAAGGGGAAGTTAGCTCACTTGGAACAGGAAAACCGAGAGAAGTAAGCAACCGAATACATTATTTCCAAAAGCAATTTTTATCACATCACCCTCCAGCGACTAAATACGCCCCTTGCCCCTCGCCGGGGATCCCCGAGACGTGCCCTGCTTGCTGAGGCAGATTGCGTCCATATTGTTTTATTACTGAATGTTCTTATCGAACACGACGGCTGTTGAGGAAAATTATTGCGAAATACGATCCCTCAAAACTTCTTCCTTTGGTATGAAACCACCGCTTCCCCATCCACCATCGTAGCTATAATCTTTCTGAATTTTGGGGCTTCCTACCACTTCTCGGAGTTCCTTTTCCAACTCCCATCGCTCGAGGATGGGGAATAAGCCACGTGAAACCCGATAAACCGGGAGAAGTCAATAATACACAACAACTGCAATAACATTTTTCTCCGCAAATACTCCTTTTCTTCCCTCCCCTCCAGCGGACAAATACGACCTCAATCTCAGGGGATCTTCCACGTACGTGTCCTGGCCCTTATGTGATCGAAGCCTCGACTTTCTACGTTATCACCCACCATCCATGGCAGACCTAAGATGTGGAAAAAATTTTTTTGTATTCCAGATGGAGTGAATAAGCTGTTGGTTTCTGGTGAAGACTCGCTGAATGTCGACCATCCTTCAACTAGTATCGAGAAAGACTCCAAAATCGCTGACCCGACTCGAGACGACGCAATCATTGAGCAATGGTCAAACGACGAGTATAAACGCGAATTGGAAAAATATAAAAAAGAACATCATATCAATGCAACTTCATCAGGACTAGTAAGTTCTTTTGCCTTTGTATTTGGAAAATATTCCCGAGTACTCTTGGAAATAACTCTGTTTTTTTTTTGTTTTTTGTCGAAATAAGCAAAATGGAATAATACACCCAATACCGGACCCTGAACGGATGAAATTCAGAGGCTCCTACTTTTCAGAGAAACGAGACTGCGTGTGATTTGTATATGCGATGTCGTAATCAGATGCACATGGCCGTCGACAGTTGCGCTTGGCGGTTTGCCAGTAGTAAAATTCTACCCAGCCTGGTCGAAAGTGCTGAGAGTTTGCTTTATCGGGTAAGATTACAGTTTCAGTACCCTTTTCCACTAACGAAGATTTAGTAATTTGGGGCCCAACCCAGAGGGATCGCAGCGTACAGTCTTGTTCGCTGCGGATGCTGGGGCGTGTCAGGAGGGGAGGGAGCGTGTTTGGCCGGCGGCCAGCCCATCAACAGTATAAGCTAAAAATTGATCACAGTTGGTGAAAATAAAGGTTGGTAAGATTAAAACAAGCCCCTCCCCCTGACTCGCCGCAATATTCGTAGCGAACAAGACTGTACGTGGCTGCTTGATATACTTCTTAACCTCCGAAACTGGCCAAAATTGGACCCTCGACACATATAAGTTTGGGGGGGACATTCCTTCTCTTTATGGGTTTCCATCACTATTTTTCTTCATTCCAATACCCTTTAGCATCTGAGAGGTGTTTGAATGATATTCCTTGCTGGTTGCATGGGTGGAGCCAGGCAACCAGCATAGCGTATGCTTTCCACGCTGGCCGTGTGGGAGGAGCCTTGAAGAAGGCTCAGCTTCTCCGCCACGGCCAGCGTCGCAATGGCCTCCATAATGGATAGGCTTCGCAAATACTTACGGGGAAAATTGATGTAATCATAACACTCCTATTGAATTTCATTGTAAGGCTGAGGAACTGTGCGATCCAGCGGAACAGCCCTTCTACGAGGAACTCTATGAGATGATGATCAAACGAAACACCCGACTTCGTGACTGCCTTGACAAGAAGAACGAAAAATTCGTAAGTTCCTTCCAAACCGGCTTCTAGTCAAAGACACGAGCAACGTACTGTATTTGCAGTTCGAGACATCAGTCTGTCTACCGTACTCCCCTGTGAAGCACCTCATGTATGGATCAGCATTCATCCGACTACTTAGCGAGGACTATAAAGAATCATCTGCTTGTTTCCGTGATGCGAACCTCATTCAGGAAAAATGTACAAAACTCAGGGAATGCTGTCCGAACTTTGACAGGTTAGTGTGAAGCATTTTGCTTCCTCAATCCTGGAGCTCAGGTCTTCAATTCGAAGCAGAACATAGAAAATACATGGAAATACATACGCTTTTCTCCTAAAATCCTTGAAAGGCAGTTGCTGGAGGCGTGCGGTCGTTGTCTGCGCCATTGGCTGCGGGAAGGGGCTCGCCACGCGCGTTGAGTGGCCAAACGCGCATCCAGCAATCGTGTCTTTTGCCTTTTAGGCTGCCTACACACTTCGCGGCTTGAGCTTTCGAGTACGCTTCACTGCTAATCGTTGGACTGCTGGTGCAGATGAGAAGAATGTGAATTCGACTGGGTTCACAATTCCACCGGTCCAGTTGTAAGCTGTGGAGCGCTTCCAGCCACTCGAATCTCGCGATTGAATCGCTCGAGTTGCTTTGACGTGATTTTTCGGTACTTAAAATTACATTCCACGCCTGTCCTTTGATCGGAAGCACCCTATCATTTTGCGTTCCTCATTGGGGCGTTCCTTTTGTTGTCTCAAACTAAGAGGCTCCGATGAGGAACGTACAGTGCCTGTCTGACGAGCATAGAATGTGCAAAAAAATAAAAGTTGAAAGAAAATAGGAGACGCTTGTTGAAGGCTCGGTTAGGTACAGAAGTTGAAAATATGGCGTCGGGAGGGTAGTGTGGTCCGCGACGAACAACCTTGTACCGGTTTCGCGGCAAAAAATTTAAAGGGAGGGGCGCTATAGCGCAATATAGGTTCAGTGACGCCTCTTTTTTCCAGTGACTCCGCCTCCAGACTCCGCCTTCAAGGCCCGCTTTTCAGTGAAAAGCGAAGCTGCCGAAAAAGCATGAAAATCGTCACTTGCACAGTCGTAGTATCTTTATCGGGGAATCAGCTGTGCGGATGAGGGC